ATATTAATGAATTAGTAATAATAATGATAAACTAATGCTAATGCAATAATAATACATAAATAATAATGAATAATAATACTAATAATAATAATAGTCTAAGAAGGTTTAAATGAACCTTGTCCCTAAAATTCATGCTCACCGGAATGAATATAGAAAATACATTACATTATAAAATTTGTCTAGGCATGCCAAATTTTGGCATTCCACAAACATCTAATTAATCAATTAACAATGTCATAATTGTAAATTGTCACTCACCTAACATTTCGACTGGCCATACACGCTCGCTCGCACAAATTCTTTTCTCTTATAGCCATTGGTGTTGTTTATTTCCACCCAAAAGAGCTTCGCTCAACATTTTGGCACATTATTACTACTTGTAGAATTATTTGTTTTCTATTAACGTTGGAGCTTTAAGCTTTGCGAATCTGATTTTCATACCCGATCCTGCAAATTGGTAAACAGAAACTGTTCTTTAAAACATTCTCAAACAGCTTTTTTGAAAAAAATAAAGACACACATAACGGATCCAGCAATAAGACAGGATGTTTAACTGAATGGCTGTTTTACTCACCCTAAAAGAATGTTTACATGAATCAAAAGTGCGGGATCAATGGCTCTTTTTGAGGGCTGCATTGTTAAAAAACCACGTACTCATATAAGGGCATGCCTGCAATAACAGTTCTGACAGACTGCTATTTTCGGACCAATTGCCCCAGAACTTATATTCAGAAAATTCAAAAGGAAAAGGAAAATAAGAATTGAATATCAACTGCTAACAAAATTGATTTATTAACAACCTAATGCAACCAGAGTTAATATAAAAATTTAAAGTATCAATAAACAATTAACCTTTTCTCCCAGCTTCTTGTATATTGCTGAAATTGGTTCACTAGAACCGTTGGAAGATGTGCCTCATAGCATCCTGCAAAAAGTGGGTGATGCCCATTCATGACCATTGGCATTGTTGGGGCGGCCTTGGGGCCATTATTCCACCTCTAGTCCAATAGTGTACACAGTCTGAAGGGTAGCACGACGTACAGAAGATGTTGCATGACTTAGGAAAAGGCCACAGACGAGGCACTACATCACTTAGTGGTTGAGGCCTGTAAAGAAAGTGAGGATAATACCTACTACAATTGAAGTAAGGAATTGTAAAAGCAAAGCCCTGCAAGGAGTTATGAGAACATATAAAATAGCCAACTTAGCACAATTCTTACTATAAATTTAAAATGAACTTGGTTTAACATTGTTAATTAAGAAAGATGTAGCCAAAGAGTTATTATTTCATACTTATGACAATTTCTTGAACGTTGAGAAAAGTAGCTCATGTATTTTTCATACATTACAGCAATCTTTAACAATTTTTTCAATGATTTCAACCTAGCAACAAATAGAATATGTACCAACATGTGAGTGCATTTCAAATGAAATATTTAATAAAATCTTCCTGGATTGCACTGCTTGTCATACACATGGGACCTGCATGGTGTAAACTATTCTCCCAAGATTTGAGATATGTTAAAATGCTTTGTTGATTCCATGGTATCTCAAGATTCTTTGGTACTAATGCATTGCAATATACTGATGCATGATGAGTTGGAAAACACTATCAATTGAAAATACTTACTTATCTCTAGGTTATCTGTATGATTTTTGCTATTAAAAAGATAAAATTAACAATGGGCAGCTCAACAATATAATTGTAAAAAACTATGCATACTAATGTATTTGAAGAATAATATCTAAGTTTTAAAATTGCCTTAAAAATATTCACCTAACTTTTACGAATGTTTCCAAAGTTTTCCTCCATTTTCAAAATTAATAAATACCCATTTTTTTCTGGTTTATAGAAGTGGCCACCAGTTACTGTAACAGCTAGCATAGCCACGAAGATAGATGCCTTTCAAGCCAACATTGGGGTTTAATTGCTCTCCTTCAATAAACAGGTTATTTATGTTCTGCTTTGTTTTGTCTTGGATGTAGCCCGTTTCACTCAAGGTTTTATTTAAGCTTCTTTCTCTTTTCAAATATTCATACAATATAATACAACAGAAGTCAATGTTGGTAAAATATTCCGAGAAGTGACTCTGAACACTGGTTTGACGCGATCTACATGAAAGGTAGTACATTGTTGTATTTTCACCAGAAGCTCTTTTAATGCTGTTAATTTGTTCAAATTTCATGTAGCAACAAGATTGCTAAGGAAGGGAGAGGGAGAGAGAGGGGGAGAGAGAGGGGGAGAGAGAGGGGGAGAGAGAAGGGGAGGGGGAGAGAGAGGGGGAGAGAGGGAGAGAAGAAGGGGGAGAGAGAGGAGAGAGAGAGAGGGAGAGAGAGAGAGGGAGAGAGAGAGAGGGAGAGAGAGAGAGGGAGAGAGAGAGAGGGGAGAGAGAGAGGGAGAGAGAGAAGAAGGGAGAGAGAGGGAGAGAGCAGAGGGAGAGAGAGAGGCGAGAGAGAGAGGGAGAGAGAGAGGGAGAAGAGAGGGAGAGAGAGAGGGGAGAGAGAGAGGGGAAAGAGGGAGGAGAGGGAAGGGAAGAAGAGGGAGGGGGAGAGAGGGAGGAGAGAGAGGGCGAGAGAGGAGGAGAGAGAGGGGAGAGAGAGGGAGGAGAGAGAGGGAGAGAGAGGGAGGGAAGAAGAGAGAGGGAGAGAGAGGGAGGGAAGAGAGAGAGGGATGAGAGAGGGAGGGAGATGAAGAGAGGGAGGGAGGGAGGGAGAGCGGGAGAGAGAGGGAGGGAGAGAGATGGAGGGAGAGGAGAGGGAGGGAGGAGGGAGGAGAGAATGGAGGGAGAGAGAGAGGGAGAGGGAGGAGAGAGAGAGGGAAAGAGAGAGGGGGGGAGAGAGAAGGGAGAGAGAGAGGGCGAGAGAAGAGAGGGAGAGAGAGAGAGGGAGAGAGAGAAGGAGGGGAGAGAGAGGGAGAGAGAGAGGGAGACGAGAGAAAGGGAGGGGAGAGAAAGGGGGGGAGAGAAAAGGGAGGGAGAGCAAAAAAAAGGGAGGGCGAGAAGGGAGAGAGACGGAATGAACCAAACTGAGAGACCGCAGGGAGATATTAACAGACAGACAGTTACACAGAGACAGTGGTGGAAAGAGACAAGAATTGCACAGAGAGTCACAGAGACAGGAAAGAAGAGGACGGAGGATAAAAAGGGGAGACGGAAGGAGAACAGGAGGAGGAGGAAGATGATGAGCAGGACAAACGTGTACTGGGTTCCGTAGTTACAACTATAATTATTTCATCCTCATAAAACAAAACCTACACAAAGAGGCCTTACCTCAGATATCGATGGACATCTGGCATGCTAATCAAAGCAGCCAAAAGCCCCAATGAAGCTGTTGCAACCGCAGCGCCAGCTCATCCTGTTCAGAGATAGGTCCGCAAGTCTCTGAACGGATGAATTTTCAACTGCGTCCGGCACTATATCTACAATGATTCTGGCACAGGGATGAGCGCAGCTGCGGCCACTGCCCACATGTCATTCATCCACAGAGTCACTCAACCTTCCAGGATGTGAGGAAAAGGCCATGGAAGGAGTTTCTTTTCACAAGTCCTGAAAATTGTGTCACATCAAGTTCTCTTCCCTTTTTCAAATCCTGAAAGCAATTATCACTGAATTTTTGCAGTGGAATTGTGTTCAATGTTTTCATATTGTTGTTTGAATTGGACATTATTTGAAATGACTGAAGGCTAACAACTAGTGTGCGTATGTACCTTTTACATTTTTCATTGTAATTTTTAGTTTATTTGTTTGATTCTCATTTGCTTTTACTTCTATTCTTTTTTAATACTTTTTGTATTAAATTTCAACTATCTTAGGTTAGACTGTAAATCATTTGATGCATCACTGAGTCTCACCTTTGTGTAAACACTTCACTAAAGAAATTTGAACTCTATTACAATAATCTGTTTAATGTAGAAGTCTACAATTCTAATAATAACTAATGAAGATCCTTTCATTGGCAATGAAAGTACTTGCATATCTGTGCCGAAAAGAAACTCAAGAAAGAAAAATTCACCCATGCTATTTTCTTTAACAAGCAGAAGGCACACTCTCCAAATTTGCTTATCCCAACACAAAAACAGCAGGCTCTAGTAATAGGCGTCTAACATAAGCTTCAACCCAAGGATAATCCATAACCAATAAAAACAACATCTCATCACGTTGGCAGATATTTAATATAAGTGATACTACTAAACTTTCCAAGCCAAATTATGGTAATGCTGTGGATTTGCCAGGTGATGCAGTTTAGCACTTCAGCCTGAGAAGACTAGTATAGGACAAAATGGTTGAAACTTTGGCAATTCAGCCTGTCCTAACAACACAGCACCATGCCGAAAAACACTAAGCATTCACAAGAATTCAGTATCCTAGCGTAACTAAAACCTAACTTAATGACAAGATAAGGAAAGGTCCAAAAAATTTCTAAGAAGTTAATGAAACTTGTCCCTAAAATTCATGCTCACGGAATGAATATAGAAAATACATTACATTATAAATTTGTCTAGGCATGCCAAATTTTGCATTCCACAAAAATCTAATTAATCAATTAACAAATGTCATAATTGTAAATTGTCACTCACCTAACATTCGACTGGCCATACACCTCGCTCGCACAACATTCTTTTCTCTTACAGCCATTGGTGTTGTTTCATTTCCACCCACAAAGAGCTTCGGCTCACATTTTGGCACATTATTACTATTTGTAGAATTATTTGTTTCTATTAACGTTGGAGCTTTAAGCTTGCGAACTGATTTTTCAATACCTCGATCCTGCATTGGTAAGACCAGAAACTGTTCTTTAAAACATTCTCAACAGCTTTTGAAAAAATAAAACACACATAACGGATCCACAGATAAGAAAGGATGTTTAAACTGAATGGATGTTTACTCACCCTAAAAGAATGTTTACACTGAATCAAAAGTGCGGGATCAATGGCTATTTTTGAGGGCTGCATTGTTAAACAAAGCCACGTACTCATATAAGGGCATGCTGCCAATAACAGTTCTGACAGACTGCTATTTCGGACCAGATTGCCCCAGACCTATATTCAGAAACATTCAAAAAGAAAAGGAAAATAAGAATTGATAATCAATGCTAACAAAATTGATTTATTAACAACCTAATGCAACAAGAGTTAAAATAAAAATTTAAAGTATAAAATAAACAATTAACCTTTTCTCCCAGCTCTTGTATATCTGAAATTGGTTCCACTAAAACCCGTTGGAAGATGTGCCTCATAGCATCCTGCAAAAGTGGTGATGCCCATTCATGACCATTGGCACTGTAGGGGCCCTTGGGGCCATTATTAGCACCTCTAGTCAAAGTATACAAAGTCTGAAGGGTAGCACGACGTACAGAAGATGTTGCATGACTTAGAAAAGGCCACAGACGAGGCACTACATCACTTAGTGGTTGAGGCCTGTAAATTGACAGTGAGGATCAATACCTACAATTGAAGTAAGGAATTGTAAAAGCAAAGCCCTCAAGGAGTTATGAGAAATATAAAATAGCCAACTTAGCACAATTCTTACTATAAATTTAAATGAACTTGGTTTACATTGTTAATTAAGAAAGAGTAGCCAAAGAGTTATTATTTCATACATTATGACAATTTCTGAAACGTTGATGAAAAGTAGCTCATGTATTTTCAAACATTACAGCAATCTTTTAACAATTTTTTCAATGATTCAACCTACAACAAATAGAATATGTACCAACATGTGAGTGCATTTCAAATGAAATATTTATAATAAAATCTTCCTGGTTTGCACTGCTTGTCAATACACATGGACCTGCATGTGTAAACTATTCTCCCAAGATTTGAGATAATGTTAAAATGCTATTGTTGGATCTCCATGGTATCTCAGATTCTTTGGTACTAATGCATTGCAATATACTGATGCATTGAGAGTTGGAAACACTACAATTGAAAATACTTACTATCTCTAGGTATCTGTATGATTTTTGCTATTAAAAAGATAAAATTAACAATAGCAGCTCAACAAATAATAATTGTAAAAAACCATGACATACTAATGTTATTTGAAGAATAATATCTAGTTTTAAAATTGCCTAAAAAATTCACCTAACTTTTACGAATGTTTCCACAGTTTTCTCCATTTTCAAAATTAATAAAATTCCCATTTTTTTCTGGTTATACAGAAAGTGGCCACCAGTACTGTAGCAGCAGCATCAGCCACGAAGATAGATGCCTTTCAAGCCAAACATCTGGGGTTACATGCTCTCCTTCAATAAACCAGGTTCATTTATGTTCTGCTTTGCTTGTCTTGGATGTAGCCCGTTTCACTCATAGGTTTTATTTAAGCTCTTTCCCTCTTTCCAAATATTATACAATATATACAACAGAAGTCAATGTTGGTACATATCCGAGCAGTGAACTCTGACACTGTGACCGATCTACATGAAAGGTAGTACATTGTTGTATTTTCACCAGAAGCTCTTTTAATGCTGTTAATTTGTTCAAATTTCATGTAGCAACAAGATTGCTAAGGAAGGGAGAGGGAGAGAGAGGGGGAGAGAGAGGGGGAGAGAGAGGGGGAGAGAGAAGAGGGCGAGAGAGAGAAAAGGGGGAGAGAGGGGGAGAGAGAGGAGGAAAGGGGGGAGAGAGCAGGAGAGAGAGAGAAGGGAGAGAGAGAGAGGGAGAGAGAGAGAGGGAAGAGAGAGAGAAGGGAGAGAGAGAGAAGGGGAAGAGAGAGAGAGGGAGAGAGAGAGAAAGGGAGAGAGAGGAGAAGAGAGCGAGAGGAAAGGGAGAAGAGAGAGGAAGAGAGAGAGAAGGGAGAGAGAGAGAGGGAGAAGAGGAGAGGGAGAGATGGAGAGGCGGAGAGAGAGGAGAAGGGAGAGAGGAAGGAAAGGGAGGGAGAGAGGGAGGGAGGAGAGAGGGGAGGAGAGAAGAGGGCGAGAGAGGAAGGGAGAGAGAGAGAAGGGAGAGAGAGGAGGGAGGAGAGAGAAGGGAGAGAGAGAGAGGGAGAGAGAGAGAAAGAGGAGAGAGAAAGGAGGGAGGAAAGAAGAGGAGAGAGGGATAGAGAGAGGAGAAGGGGAGAGAAGAGAGGGAGAGGAGAGAGAAGGGAGAGGGAGAAAGGCAGAGAGGGAGGGAGAGAGAGATACGGGAGGGAGAAGCAGAGAGGCGAGAAAAGGGAGAGAGGAGAAGGGAGAGAGATGAGAAGGGAGGAGAGAGAAAGGGAGAGGAGGAGAGGGAGAGGGAAGAGAGAGGAGGGAGGAGAGGAGGAAGGGAGAGAGAGAGAGGCGAGAGAAGAGAAGGGAGAGAGGAAGGAGAGAGAGAGAAGAGAGAGAGGAAGGGGAGAGCAGAGCGGGAGAGAGAGAGAAAGGAGAGCGAGAGAAAAAGGGAGGGAGAAAGGGAGAGAAAGGGAGGGGAGAAGGAAAAGAGAGAAGGGAGAGAAAGGAGAAAGGGAGGAGGAGAGAAAGGGAGAGAGACGGAATGAACCAAACTGAGAGACCCAGGGAGACATAAACAGACAGACAGTTACACAGAGACAGTGGTGGAAAGAGACAAGAATTGCACAGAGAGTCACAGAGACAGCAAAAGAGAGAGACGGAGAGAAGGGAGAGAAGGAAGGAGAAAGGAGGAGGAGGAAGATGATGAGCAGGACAACGTGTACTGGGTTCCGCTAGTACAACTATAAATTATCTTCAATCCTCATAAAACAAAACCCTCAAAGAGAGCCTTACCTCAGATATCGATGGACATCTGGCATGCTAATCAAAGCAGCCAAAAGCCCCATGAAGCTGTTGCAAGCAGCAGCCAGCTCATCCTGTTCAGAGAGTAGGTCCCAAAGTCTCTGAACGGTGATTTCCAACTGCTCCGGCATTTCATCTACAATGATTCTGGCCACAGGGATGAGCGCAGCTGCGGCCACTGCCCCCACATCATCCACAGAGTCACTCAAACCTTCCAGGATGTGAGGAAAGGCCACTGGAAGGAGTTCTTTCACAAGGTCCTGAAAAATTGTGTCACAGCAAGTTCTCTTCCCTTTCAAATCTGAAAGCAATTATCACTGAATTTTGCAGTGGAATTGTGTTCAATGTTTCATATTGTTGTTTTGAATTGACATTATTTGAAATGACTGAAGGCTAACAATAGTGTGTGTATGTACCTTTTACCTTTTCATTGTAATTTTAGTTTATTTGTTTGATTCTCATTTGCTTTTACTTCTATTCTTTTTAATACTTTTTGTATTAATTTCAACTATCTTTAGGTTAGACTGTAAATCATTTGATGCATCACTGAGTCTCACCTTTGTGTACAACACTTCATAAAGGAAATTTGTACCTCTATTACAATAATCTGTTTAATGTAGGAAGTCTACAATTCTATAATAACTAATGAAGATCCTTTCATTGGCAATGAAAGTACTTGCATATCTGTGCCGAAAAGAAACTCAGAAAGAAATATTCACCCAATGCTATTTCTTTAACAAGCAGAAGGCACACTCTCAAATTATGCTTATCCAACACAAAACAACAGCAGGCTCTAGTATAGGCAGTCTAACATAGCTTCACCAAGCATAATACATAACCAATAAAAACAATATCTCATCACCTTGGCAGATATTTAATATAAGTGATACCTAAACTTCTCCAGACAGAATTATGTAAATGCTGTTGGATTGCCAGGTGATGCCAGTTAGCACTTCAGCCCTGAGGAAGACTAGGACAAAATGGTTGAAACTTTGGCATTACAGCCTGTCCTACAACACAGCACCACCCGAACAAACACGAGCATTCACAAGAATTCAGTATCCTAGCATAACCTAAAACCTAACTTAATGACAAGATACAGGAAAGGTCCAAAAAAATTTCCTCTTCTCATAAAATTAATAACAGCAAAATCAGCATTCAACTTGTATTTTGTAATGAAAGGATTATCAAGTGCATACTATCCTTTAAAAGATTTTTATTGTTTTATGCTTTCTATTGGCTACAATTACACAAGTTGTCTAGAAAGGTTTTAAATCATTAATGTTGCAGATTTATTCATTTCATACTTACTTTGCGAACCGCTAAAAGATATTTCAAGCCCAATAAACCTCCATGACGAGCTTCCCAATCCTTTTGCTTTAGAAGCTGAAGTAGAACATTTGTTACTCCATTGACACTCTGCTTACCCATGAGATGAAGAATAGACCCTGTAAACAATATCAAAGATCATATATTAGTTCATCATGAAATTTAATCCAATACAAATTTGGAAGCAATGTAACTGCTTGATTATCTCATTAGCAAAATTATTTTCAAAGCATAAAGCACTTGTATGCTGATCAAGTATAATTAAATAAATAACAAGCAATCAGTATTTCCCCAATCTAATCACAATAGAAAGTAATATTAAATATGTTTCACTAAAAATGTAAAATATTTGTTTAAACATTTAAAATGCATCTAGTATGATAGTTTACTGTTATCTAAACACTTTGAAAAGTGTCATTTCAACACTCTCCACCCCAGACAGTTATTGAACCTTTAGAGTAGAAACATTTATGGAGATTCTAGCACCAATATGATTATGAGCAGAACGAAATGTTCATTTGTTTGCTAACATCAACTCCTAGCTTGGCTTGCACTTACTGGACAAACAATAAGGCCAGAAATACAAAACAGGAATAGGTAAGAAATGAAGTAGTATTATAATTCTTATGTTTCTCAACAAATCAACTATATTTTTAAATATTTCCAGCGTGTATTTATAATTATTTGATTAAGAAATATCATTTGAAGCAAGAAAATAATGAATCTACTCTGTTCAATAAAGAAGAACATCAAAACAAAATAAAAAGTAACAAACAAAAAAGCAATAAAACTAACCAAGAGCCTGAGCACATGTTTCTCTGACAGGAGCCACGACCTGATCAGAAACAAAGTCACCAAATCTATCCAAAGCAAGAACACACAGAAGCCGCAGAGCTACATCTTCTAACCAAAGCTGATGAAATTCTTCCATCTGAAATCAGGACAAATGTTTAATAGAATTAATACTAACTGCAATAAAAATGTACAACCTAATTTGTATGTAAAATAAATAGAATGATGCCAAAAAACTTTAAGTAGTAATTTTGGTGTATTATAGTATCATAATATCATTATAGTAATTTGTCAGCAGTATATTTGAATCAAATCTGAAGATCATTTGCCCTTGCAGCTCTATGATGTAGGAGTGAACATTTATCAAATACTAAAATGCTCCTTTTTACTTTTATTCATAAGTGTGTAGTAAAAGAGTGTAGGAATTCTGGAATTCAAGATGATGTCTGCAGTTATATTTCCCCTGCATACTGTGACAGCCCATTCGGACATGGCCCAATGAATATTAATAACAGGGCAAAATAACAGGAATTGATGTATTTTAGTAAGGAGACAAACAGTCCAAGATGCAATGGTAGAGGTGTAAAGTGTCACTTATTTCTAAAAATCCACAGATCTGTGCTGTTAGCAGACCTGTGAGAAGGAAATGAGTAAACAAAGAACATTTAGGAAATAAATAAACATTCACTCGAACTCTATGTTATTTTGGAATAACGAAAAACTTTTATTAAATGAATGTTTGTATATTAGGCAAAGGCAATTGAATGGGTTTTACACATGATCAGCAATTACATAAACATTTAAATATAAGAAGGAAAATAATTTAGAAAAGGGAAAGGTAATTAATATTATTATTTAGTTTTTAATTCCAAATTATTGCAATGAAGAAATTAGAGAAATATAAAGACATTAGTAAATCGGAATGTGGAAAGATACAGCGAGCTTGACAAAGAGAAGAGATGTCGTTCATTTCAAACTGCGTGGTGTAGAAAGCATGTAGACAGAAGGGTTTGTGATTGTGGACTGGAACATCGTGGCAAAGGTCAAGTCTTGAATTCAAGGAGTTTTTTAAAATGTTTTAGATTTCGGAAAAGTGATGTTTTAGTATGTGCGTTTTAATTCGGGACTGTTTAATATGGAATCTGGACAAAAGGAGAATATGGATACAGGAGCTTGTACGGATACAGATGCAGGCATTGGCAACTGTCAGGGACGGCACCATTAGTTGGTCAGGGGTCCAGTGAACCAACAACCAGGGAGGTGATGCAATTTTACCAAAACCAAATTATAACAAGGCCAAGACTTTCCTGTACGAGGATGACTTCGTGAAGCCACACTAAAAATGTACATTTGCAGTGCGTAACATAAACTTGATATTTTCGTGATTTCGTCGAGTAAGTTACCAATTGTAGACTTGGCAGTCAGCATGCCAAATTGTTATTTGTTTCTTTCACACGGAATTTACAAACACGAATATATCTGACTCGTCCAAGTGTGGGGTGAAATAATTAAATATTACAAATATAAATTAATTTGTAATTCTCAGGTTTATATCCATTACAATACATCATATCTGATTAGTCATACATGAATGAAATTGTATTTGTAACTCAATAAATATTATTATTACTACTACTACTACTACTATATCATCATCACTAACATTTTATGAAAAGTCAAACTAAAACATACCTCATGCTCGGGTATGTCTGCAACTTTGCCAGCACCTTTTCCATGGATACGTATGACTTCTCTTAAAGCTGTAGCAGAGCCATGGCGAGTTTCCCAGCTGGGGCTGAATAAGTCTTGGCAAAGCTGGTCACAGAAACCTTCAAATGGCCAATCTACTGCCTTCATTTGCCAAACAATTTCATTATTAGGAAACCCATTTTGCATACATATATCTCAACAAAAAAATTTTTAATATACAAATTACCTCTCTGCTCCATGAACCTGTACTGTCAGGAACATTTTCACTATGATACATCCCATGGTCTTCCATTTTCGCATCACGAATACCATCCTCAAACTTGATTTTCTTCTTATCAGGTTCCTCTCCGCAATCTTCACCTGCTTCTCTTGATCGCTGTTTAAGAACAGCCAGCCGAGCTTTTCTACGAGCTCGATTCATTTCTCGAGAACTAAGCCCTCCAACCTGACTCACTTCATTCTGAACAACTTCAGAAATACTTTTCTAGGAAACAAAAACAAGATAGCAGTGAGTACTCCATTTAGTGTTTTCAATTTTCATATTTCAACTTTCTGGACTATTTTTCCAGAGCATGCACATTATAGGGTACTACAAAACAAACAAAAAAAGAAAGGGAAAAAACAACAATAACAACAACAACAACCACCACCACCACCAAGAACATCTCTCATTTTGAATCAAGTATCATTGGTAATTTTTTTTATTAAAATATGTTAATAAATAAATTGTATTATTTTTTGCATAATTTAATTTTAAAACATTTTTTCAAGGTCTCAAAAAGCACACGAGAGAAATAGATAAATGGCAATGCACAACTGTTACAATTGTTCCCGATGATAAAAACGTTGCGGGAGCTACTGAGCATGTACTTATTTGACAGCAATATCATCATACATTACTCTACATAATATCTTACTATATTATTGCACAGGCAGAAAATGCCCTTGGTTTTTGTGATGAATGAAATTTCACGAAATCGTCGGAAGCTACTTCCCTTTTGAAATATAAAAGTATTTATACACATTGCATATTATTAACAGTGAAAGAGGTTAAAAGGCTTTGGCAGGACATTTTGCACATGGAACCTTAATTATTCTTAAAAGCCACAGACCACAAAGTAGCACTAGAACATTGCATAGAAAACACACAATGGCACCACCACACAAACAAATAGCTAAATCACAAGAACACTAAATGCCAACTGAACAAATTCCATGCTAAAGAAAGAGGCTACATTAATACTAAACAGGCAACATTGTGCAGTCACAATTGCAATGTTATGTGCTACATGCTACCTCTAGTAACATACCAATAACCTTAATATCCTATGTAATGTAGTTTTAGCAACATAAGGAACGTTCACAAACAATCACATATTGCCTTTGATCCATCTATTTCCTTCTTCTGCTATAATAAAATTTCCTTAATTATTTCCCCGCCCATAGCTTTCCCTGTCATTTACAGGTGTGCAACTGCCCTGCCTGCTTATCTAAAAACCATCTCAAAGAATCATTGAAAAGCAAAAAAAAATATCGATACCTTTGAAACTTCCTCAGTTTTGTGTGTATCATTGACACCTATTGTAAAACCTAAATCTTCGGAAGTAAACAACTCTGTAACATCAATTCCAATTTTACTTGCAACATCTAATCCCAATCGAGCATTTAGAAGTTGACGCTGACGTGCCATTTTCTCACGAACATCAAGACCTGCAACATACACACAAACAAACAAAATTAAAAATTAAACACTACATATTTTTCATAAAATACTTTATTAAAACAAACTTCAGTTTTTACAATCAAACTTACCGGACATATCTTCCTCCAAGTCATACTCCTTTCCTTCTGAACCCATTAAGAGTGATCCATTTTCCAAAACTTTACACATATCAAATTTTTCAAAATTCATTCGCCCCTCCATAGAAATATTTGAAGAGAGCGTTTTTGTTTCTGTAAAACAATAAACAGTTAAAAAACAATCAGAAACAATAAAAGATGTAACAATAAACTTTATTATATAATATATTCACATTACATGTAGACACCTATAATATTTGAAACAAGCAGTATTGACCCTTTGTCACTAAGTGCAGTGAAGTTATGAAAAAAAAAATTAATCAAAGATATTATTTAATAATTCCCTACAGTATATAATAGACAACTGTAAAATTTAAAGTTTGGAATTAAAAACTTGAATTCTTATCCTCTGCCATTTAACATAGCAAATGTTAAAAGCATAAATAATCAATACACTCTTCTGGATTGTACATTAACTGTGCCACTAACTATAGGCCATCCCAAAAATTCTAAATGGCTCACGACATCAAAATGCAGTTGGCGCTCAACTATGCGAAATAATGGGGGCATATAATATACCATAAAAACATTGATTTTATTTTTATTTTTTGAGAAAAAATGTAATCATTTTTTATTTTTTACATAGAACTATACATTTTTCTCACTAGCAATGGATAAATCATAAAAAGAGGTATACAATAATGAATCATTAATTAAGGTTTTTATAATAAATAAAATTATACTTTCTGTCATTTGATTTTAAAACAGACAATATTCTGTTTGTATACCTTGCAACCGTTGTCTTTAGGGTAGCATCAAGACTGTTATGAGGAGAGGGGTGGCAGAAAGGAATAAATGAGCATAAATACAGCAATCCATGGTGTTGATGCAACAAACATCAATTATAATTATTGAAATGAGAGATCTTTTCCACTGATTCATCAGAATTAAACTTTTTGCCTACGTATTGAAATGTATGGCCCCACAAAAACTACAGTCAGTTCAGTGGCCCACACAAAGAAATCTAATTTAAAAGAGCATCAATAATTAAATTTCAATGACATTCTTTACTTCTATTTGTAATTTTACAAACTTTACACATTTTAAACATGCACACTGCTATTAGAAATCACAGCATATGTTACACAATAAAGAGTTCAAGTACACTAAATTTAATTACCTTTCACACTGCATGGAATAGGATCCCAAGGAGGAACATTGCGAATTACCGCCTCCACCGCTTGGCCAGCTGCTATTCTGGTTTCCCATGCTGGACTGCGCAGATAAGTCGTAATGCGTGCTAATAAATTATGCAATTCATGGGGATGTAATCTTTGAACTTCTCCCAACTGATGAGCTGCAGCTCGTCTAGTCACACCAGATGACCCCGTCTCCAACAACACAAACAACCGATCAAGCCTGGAATACAAAACAAGATATATCACACTGGACAGTCAAAAACACAAAGTGAACATTTCAAAGATATACAAATGCATGAATCTAGCTCCCTTAAGTGATAATGAAACAATATTAAATACCTTGAGGTCATTGTGCTGATAATTCTGTCTTTTGTTTACATTATTTTATGATGAGATCAATTTATAAATCAATATAAATTGGCTGTAAAACAAAAGACATAATTGAAAACTTATCACCGAGGTTGAGTTCACTATTAAATGTACACCGAAATGAAAATTACAGACACTGTGTTTGTAAGTCCGAACGTCTTATGATTTCCATATGGATAAGATGAAGCAGGAAAAAGTAGGTTAGATGCATACAACTTCAGGAACTTAAAATTACACGAGGTTGTGATATCAAGCAATTACAGTATATTAAAAATACTACTAAATAAATGACAACAGGGAAGATTTTCTATGACTGATGCAAGTGATTAGGTATTCTGGGATAAACATTCGTTGCTACCATATAATCTGTATAATACAAGTGTCAAACAGGAATATTTAGCTTACACTCGCAATGATAATTGCTAAGTAGTTGAAAATGACATTATCCACATTCTCTGCATATATTTACAAATTTGTGACGTAAAACAACAACAAACACAGGTAATTGAAAATTTAATTCTCGGAGAGAAAGGCATCCTGGCAGACTCAAATTTATACTGACAGCCATATTGCTGATGAGTCCGAATTTATGCAATAGTTCATCTGTGATTGGCTGAAAACTTCCCTCACATTCGTGAAAAGCCTACTTGCTTAACCAATGGCAGGTACGAAATTGCTGGCACGCCTCTTCTACTAACTTAGTAAAATGCAAAACTTTCTAGCCTGTATTTTGTCATTTTTCTCCAAATATCAAAGATAGCGCTATACAGTAATTGATAAAATTATTTATAGCATTTAAACAAGTTTATTTGACATCAATTATCAAAAGACGATTGAAAAGTACATATTAATAATATTCTTGTATAGTTGACAGTAGTAAAAAAACAACAGAAAACCCATAACACGATCTTAACCTATAAATTCAATCATCAAAAACTGGCATTGCCGATGCCAAACCGTGATTGTCACGTGTGCAAACGTTTTCTATCAGAAATAGAAGGGCCGTGTAAGACTACCGAGTCGTGTGAGTTTTAAGCGTCAGTTCTGTATTTCCCACTAAATTGAATTCTATGGAAGATTTGTGGTAGATTGCAACAAATATGTCTGATGATGATGCACCTCGTGCGAGAGCCTTTCATCCTAAAAAGGCAATTAATAGGAAAACTAAGAGGCATATTGTATTTGATCCTGAAGCCAGAAAGTGAGTAATGTATATATTAACATATTCAATATTGTTTTATTCAAGAACGTAATTGTTAGAATTGTGTATGGTTAAAATCAATTTCATCTTAGAAAGTTGCTCAGTGTTTTTATGATTATAATGGGCGTAGGTATTGTAAAATTGTGCAGCGCTGGGGTGTATGAATGAAGAAGGCATATACTATAGTAGTAGATCTGAGAAAGGATAAAAGTAAACACTCCATTATCTTGTAAAGAATAAAATTGTTCTTTGTACAATTAAAGCACGTTCATTAAAACGTCAGGAAAATTTACAAAATCGATGTTGCAGGGAATTCCTAACGGGGTTTCACAAAAGGAAGCAGGAGAGGAGAAGGAAAGCACAAGAAGATCTTAAAATTCAACTTAAAGAAGAAAGAAAGCGCCTCAAGCAGGAGGTGGGGCTTGCCTTTAACTACATTACATTGAATATTCTTTCTTTCAAGAGTGCAATAATTAAACAGTGTACTATTGCCAATGAGTTCTTTCTAAATGGTATTCACTCTAAAACTTTTTCCATGGTATTGTACTCTTTTAAATTGTATAGGTCTTTGCTTAAAAGCTTTAACAATGAAAAACAGGATATTATTATATACTTATTGAGCTATGCTTTCTTTTTTTTAAGTGCCCTGTCAAGGTCACACAAGAAAGGGAGTACTAGTGTAGTGATGTGCTGCTCCCTATTGTAGTCTACCTTCCCTTTCTTTTTCATGTATGACCTTTACAGGTCACATAAAAAGAATGAAAGTATGTAAATACCTAATTTATACATGTATGTTTAAAGTTTTTGTTTAGTCACCGTTTACGTGATTTACTAATAATGATAATAAATAAATTACAGGCCAAGGAGACTTTCAAGAAGCTCTTGGGAACTCAGCGTGCTGATCCAGCTCCAGAAGACCTAGCTACAGAAAGCTATGATCTTGAAAACCATTCCGTCAGCATTTTTGAATTATCTGCTGCTGACTTAGCTGAGAAGAACAATTGGATTGGGCCCAACAGGGTAATGTGTCTTTGTACCATGTGATATGCTAGAACCTATTTAGTTTTCTTTTGTTAATTAGAATTGTAAAACCAATTGAGTATCACTTAAGAGGTACTTGAAAGCATTAACTTGATTTTTAATTTAATTTAGGTTCAATATGAGGATGAAAAGGTTGAACACAAACCTAAAAAGGAGGAAGCAAAAGAAGAAATACCAGGAATGGAACTTACAAGATTACGTGATGTAAAAATCGCTCTAAAGAAAAAGGCTACTCAAGAAGTGAAAAAGAGTAAAGCATTTCAGCAAAAGAGTAAAGTAGAAAGGCAAAAAAATAGGAAGAAATCATTACAGCAAAAGAAAAGAAACATAAAAATGCATGAGAAAAAGAACAAAAGGAAAGGCAAATTTAGAGGAAACTCTGACTTAAACTGATTTTTGAGTGTCAATTGTACAAACAAAGAAAATATTTTTTATAGTCATTTTTTAAAATTGATTGGACTGAAGACCATTGTACACTATTGTAAATGGCATTGTTCTTGAATACTTTTCTACTTCAGTGCAGCATTTAGTGGTTAAAATTTCAAATTACTTTCCGGCAAACTGATTGAGACTTAAGGACTTCAACTCCTTAAATTTCTATGCACGAAAGAAGCTTGTGCATAATTCAAAGTTTCTTATTGTTCTCTAAAACTTGCATTATTAAAAATTGCTGATAATGTAAAAACAGTTTGGTGGTGACAGTTAAGGTCCAATGCCGCTCTCATTGAGGGTAATGGTAATATTCAAATACCACACCAAGAAATCTTAGATCAGTTTAGTGTTTTTAGTTTTAATTTTTCGTGTGGAATGTAGATGCATCAAAGATATAAGGTTCAATCTCAACTGGTGAATCAATGGTTTGAATGTAAAGCTTCTCAAACGGATGTTTCTCAAAGAACAAATTAGGTTCTGAAAACCTTGCAATTTTGTTAGGTAAGCTTGCTGCCTGAAGCATCTTTGGAGTGCATTTATTAATTTGACAATATTTGTGCCCTTTTCAACGTATATACCCTAAACAAGTTGGCTGAAATTGTATGGAGCAAACTCATCTACTGACATCTGTGATAAACTAGCCAGCCTTTGGAAGTAGCTGTAAGTTAATGAGCTCATTGCACAAATTTTCAGTTACAGTTTTGTCACAACCTGTTGTTTTTTGGTTGTTGTTTGTTGTGTTTTTTTTTTTTTTTTTTTTTCTCTTTAGATGTCTTAAAGTTCAGAGTTTAGAATTATGACTTGTAATGCACCAGTGGTTTGGAAAGTTATTTGAGCACTTTCCCATCATTTGTGTTTGACCCATGAGTTGACTTTGCAGCTTAAGTTAAAGTTATTACTGAGGCATTTCATCTTATTCTTTGCTTGACAACGTGGATATATAGTTAACCTGAGTCATAACAAATCTTTCAACATCATTTTGCACACTTACATTTTTCAATGTGAAGTTCATAATGAATCCTAAGAGGCATGCATGCATGATTTCAACAACTACAGAGGTGTAGTTGTAGTGTAAAACTAATGTAAGTGGCAGTAATTCTTCTCGCCTTGTGTTTACATATTGTAAGAGGAAGGTGTATATTAATGCAACTAAAGAAAGGCTGTTCTAGAACAATCCATAAAGTGCATTGTATGCTACCCAATTGTAAATATACATGTTAATTACTTTGAACATTTGATTTTGTAATCCTTTAACCCACCTTTTTTTTCGCTTAATTTAGTCGGAATGATGTATTCTTTTGATTGCATAAGGCTTTAGTAGTACTCTATGCTGTGCCTGGAGGCGAGGCAGTCCTGGCCCCTCAGGTGCCAAGGTTTGAGCCGCCATTCTGTAACCTTTCCATGCATTTTGCCCGGAGTTCACAAAAGAATGCAACTGTCTAGTTGCTGCATCATATGCGCCAAGATTGATGTGATTTATTATCTGCAGAATTTGGTAACAAAGCACAAGTGTCACATAATAAACATGACATCCGCAATTCAGATTATGATAATGTATAACGAATTTTGAAACTGTAATAATTGGTGTTGTCAGTTGAAGGAACTCTGGAAAACCTGTTCTTACTCTTTTGAGAAAAAGTAATTATTATACATCTGGTTCTTTATTAAACATATTTTTACTTTAGCATTAGTCATAAAATTTCAAGGCATCATCTGGTTTAAAATTTAGTTTTCATACTCTTATCTTTGTTCTGCTGTAATATGCATATTAAGTGAAGGTGTTCATTTTCACTCCAAACATTAAAAAAAGAAAGTTGCTTATATTAGGTTTTGAGCAGTGCAATAGTGCTTTTTTGCACAAGCATTACAAAGGGTCTAATGATTGAGCAGCGACAAAATCCCTGTGGGCTTTTTGTAACCCGAGATCATTAGAACAAGTTAACACCCATTGTACATAATTTTATTTTTTACCACATTTTACTGTTCAGATTTACTCATTAACTTGATGCTAACCTGACCTTTCATATTTCCCTCCCACAAGAGAACATGTAGCATCATTGAACTGTTTGCATATTTCTCTCATATCCACGTAACCTCTTGATATCGTGCTCTGTATCGAAGTCAATAATAATAACAAGCTATAACGTATCAGTAAAAAATAATTTTATTTACAAACAAGTACAAAGTAAAATCACTTTTAAAAACAATGTATACATGCAGAAAATAATGTTGTCAGAGCTGTATTATTTTGTACTTTAGATCAAATACCTTTAATGATAACACAACAGAATCTTTCTCCTAAATACTGCATATTGTTTTATAACGGGTGCATATTGCATCGACCAATACTTTTTCATGAGAAGCTTACACATTCTCCATCTGTAAAATGTATCACAATATATTTTAACATAGTGAACCATAGTGAACAGGAATGACCTCTTCAAATGGCATCTGAGACCATCGCCTATCGGATGAAGATCTGTTTTGTTTGGTTTTGTCCAACTGACATCAGCTGACCAAAATCTTTGCCAAAATTAACTTCACTATGACTTATGAATTAAAATCCACTTCTTAAAAAAAAAAAAAGGCATTAATTGAAATGACAATTAGCTTTAAATTGCAACCAATGAGCAGTGAAAAATTTACATTTTATTTGGAAATTTACTATCATTTTCAATACTTCAAAAACCACAACTAAAGTTTATACTAAAGGTTCATCCTCAATGAAATGAAGTTTATATATAAAATACCAATTCATTTGTTTTCCCTTTCGTATCACAAAATCTCTGCAAATTATCAAGCTTTAACACTTCTGCCAAATGGACAGAGTGACTTATTAAGGCATGACCCGCAAAGAGGTTTAACAGGAAGACAAGTCTGTTGACCAAATCCCACAAGTAAATGATTCACCTCGTCCCACAAGTCTCTTGGCAGCCATGATTCAAGAGCCACACGGGTGTCCTCTGGTTTCTTTGTGGGCTTCTGCACCCATTTCAATCTGTTTGAGATTCGATGTACATGAGTGTCCACACCTATAAAAACGAAATAATCTCATTAACTTTTGAAGAAAAGCAAATATGCAGCAGGAAAAAAAAATTACACCTAGTCAATCATGAGGATGGCTACCTCCCCATGCAGCTCATAAAAAAACTTAAGAACAAGAGTGCGAATTGCGCTTCTCCCCCATACTTATGTTCTGGAATCACTTCCCCCACCTTTTAACCCTAAGTAGTTGAATGATGAATAAACATTCCAAAAAGGAAGGTTAGTTTGAAGGGAGAAGTGTTTGCTTCCAAGTTATAGAAAATTGTTTTGCTTTGGTAAACAAACTACAGAATTGAGTTGTTAGTATTTATAAGAAAATAAATACCCATACCTCTGGCTCTACTGCTATGACAACTAGCAAAAGATGAGCTCAATTGAACATCGGAATAGCAAAGCTATTGTCCAGCAAGCTATTGAAACGTTTATGTCCAGAAGCAAAACAGGGTGCAATCTTAGTATTTGCTCAATGGATCACAGAAACGACACAAACTTGATTGAGATTAGTGTGGAAATCATTGACCTTCATTTGATTTATATATCAATGAATTTCTATCAAACAGCTTTACGAGTTAAGTAGTAGTAGT